AGTATTTGATTAAATAATACAGTAAAACTTATATTGTGAAATAATATTAGATTTAATTTTCTATTTTAATATATTTAAAAATGTAATTTATTAATGTGACGCAAAGCTGAATTTTCAGCAGCCATTACTCCAATCTTCAGTGTCACGTGATCCTTCAGAAACCATTCTAATATGATAATTTGGTGCTCAAGAAACATTTCTAATTATTATCCAGCTTGAAAACAGTTGTGCTGCCTAATATTTTGTTCTTTGATGAATAGAAAGTTCACAAGAACAGCATTTATTTGAAACATAATTTTTTTTGTTATAAATGCTTTACTGTCACCTTTAATCAATTTAATCCATTCTTGCTAAATAAAGTACTAATTTCTAAAATATTAAACTTATGAACAACTTTTGAACAATAGTGTATCTAAAACTTTCAACTGTAGGTGGAAGAATGTTGCCATCAGGATCAAGAAGACACTCCTCAATCAATGTGCCAAATTTCCCAACGATTTACCATACGGTTCTAGGGGCCGCCACAGACTAAATGACAGAAAAAGCAGCAGAGAAAGATTAAGATGACTAACAGATACAATATATGCCCACACGCCTTTGGTGCTTGGCCCCATAAAAAGATCGACTGTAGCCCCTTGCAGGTGAGGTTATACGATATGTGTTAGTTAATGACATTAAATTAGTCTAGCGGGTTTTACATGCCTCTCAGATTTTCAGTATAATAAACATCATTTATTAGCAAGCAGAACACACCTTGAACTCTTTTCCACGCAATGCACCACTGGGATGATCATATTACTGTGCATAAAGCATCCAGGGCACAAACACACAGACACACCAAAACACACCCACACATGTGCGCACACACAAGACTAAAAGGAGAAAAAGAGGAAGAGAGAAAGTGTGTGCGTGGTGACAATGGCCATGTTGTGTAAACCACCAGAGCATTGTTTCGTGTTAATGGCATGCCATAGAAAACTCGATCCCATCGAGAGGATACACAACTCTCTTGGGCACAGCTGGGCACAAGTGTTTTACCACCAGAGGAACAATGAGGAAACACAGCAGTCAGTAACCACCGCTGCTCAGTCCATTACTGCATATAAGACAAAACAGAACACTCTGTTCTTTAAAGGAGGCATATCATATGAAATTGTATTTCTCGCTTGCAATAAGAGTTTCATATACAGTAGCTATGTAAACAACTGGAAGGAAATTAAAGTTTAATCTCAAGTACAAACAAACTATCCATTGCAATAAAGCTGCACTAAAGAAAGTGGAAATGGTTGGATTTCTGACATCAGAAAAAAAAGAGATATATAATACCTGGAGAAAGCTATCGATTTGCATTCCCATTCATCTTAATGGCAGTTGCTTGGCTAGCGAAGGACATTACTGCACTAAGGTGGAAATGGTAATGTAAATTAAATATCACAGATGCTTTTGGTGCAAGAAACCTTGACTGTCATTATAAATTGACATGTTAGTGTACAAAATTGAATTTCTGTTTAGGAATAAGAATTCATTATACAGTAGCTATACAACTGGAAGGAACTGAAAGCTTAATCAAGTACAAACAGACTATCTATTGCAATAAAGCTGCACTAAAGAAATCAGACATGATTGGATTTCTGACATCAGAAAAAATTAAATCTATAATACTTGGAGAAAGCTATCGATTAGCAGTCTCACTCATGTCAATAGCAGTTGCTTGTCTAGCGCATGCAGGTAATCACTGCGTTAAGGTGGAAATGGTAACGTAAAATTAAATTATCACATATTTTGGTGCAAGAAACCTTGACTATCATTGTAAATGAAAAAAAAATGCTAAATTAGTATAATATGACCCCTTTAAAATCTATGACAATGTATTATAGTCAAGTCAAGTTCAGCTTTATTGTCATTCTGCTGCATGTGGGGAAGTCGATGAACAGCATTCTAACATAGGAGTCTTTATTTTCTAGGTGGGTAAGAGCCAGGTGGAGGGTGGAGGAAATTGCATCGTCTGTAGAGCGGTTTGGACTGTATGCAAACTGGAGCGGATCGAGTGTGTTGGGGAGGCTGGTTTTGATGTTGTGCATGACTAACCTCTCAAAGCACTTCATCATGATTGGAGTCAGTGCTATGGGACGGTAGTCGTTTAGACAGGACACAGGTGATTTCTTTGGTACCGGTATGATTGTTGTGGATTTGAGACATGTGGGGACGACTGCCTGGCTCAGCGAGGTGTTGAAGATATCTGTTAGGACATCTGTCAGCTGTGCAGCACAGTGCAGCACATTATAGATTATCACCCTAAACAATCACCTAAATATAACATCATTATTCTATCTTTCATAATTAACTACTTATTAATAATGTATTTATTTTTCGTTTATTCAAAATCTGCAATTGCAAAAAGTAAGACGTCAGCATTAGACTGTTAGATGGCATCCAAAAATACACAAGTCCCTTGGGTCCAGTGACAGTTTTCTTGGAGCCGCTGTCACAATGCTAGCTGAGGTAGATTAAAATCTAAAGCTATTTTTGGCCAACGGTGTGCCAGATGCGGACACGGCATATCACTAAATATCTTAATATCACGCATCAGCGTTTGAAGCTATGCCTACAGCCTTACGCATGACAGATATGTGAATGTGCATTGTCATTCAAAAGGCTTTTTGGGCATACACTGTATTTTTCAATTAACATCAGAAGCACAGGGTTCGTTTTCTTGTGTGAAGGTGCAGGATTGTAGAGGCCAGAGTTAAAGGCTCATGTTAAGGGCATATTACAAGAGACTGACTGTGTCATATCCAAAAGGGCAGGATGAAAGTGCAGTGCCAAATATGATTTAGCACATAAAAATACAAGGCTGTCTGTTTCTAAGTGGGCCATATTCTGCAGATACTTAAAAAAAAATATATATAAAATGAAATTTTTTTAGATAGTGTGACCCCATGGACTGAATAATAAAAGGACAGAACAAAAAAAAATCTATTAAATCTATGAATGCAATAAATAGCCTATTTATAAACCACTTATTTTTAAACTATACAGAAACAATGCAAATACCAACTGATAAAATGTCCACATAATAGTGCATACTTTTTCCATAAGCTGATATCAGATGATATTATCCTGTAACTGGACCTACATGGGTGTACAGAACACCCCAACAAAGTCAATTCTATTATAGTTAAATTTGCCCATCTACAGCTGTTTCTACATTGCACACACATGGTGCATTTTTCAGCTGCAAATATACTGATTACAAAGACGTGGCATAAATGTATTTGCACTGATCCACAATTTTAGGAAAAAGTGGATCACAGGCGATAGTTCATTAGCATGCACAGCAGGCAGTAAATGAGATGCAAGCTGACTGTCAAAACAGAGCTCCTATAGCTTGTCAGAGCAAAGGCACCATAGGAGCATATTTTACCAGGTTAACAGCTTTCCTGACACAGTCAAGTGTTTACTGATTAATTCAAAATTGAAATCTCCAAACGTTAGCCCATTGTAGCCTATTATATTATTTACACTTTCTAAATAACTGAAATCTAAAAAATACAAGTGTTTCAAAATGGGGGGTAAAAAAAAAACAGCGATGCTACGCTCGTACAGTATATGATTTGCAGTGCACCACTGACAGAGAACAGCTGCAGCTGGACACAGAACAGACGATCATTACAGAATATTAAATACTGTAACGTGCCTTATTCTCATGTCATTTCCTTCAGTGTGCTGTAATAATCCACCAATCCATAAATCAAACAGTTTTCTCATTAAATTACTTCTGCAATCACAGTTCTGATGAAAGCAATGAACACAGCTTGTTGGGGTCACAAGCACAGGAAGTCATATTAGCATAAATGATGGACGGCTGACATGCTGTGGAAGTGGTTATGTGCACGCTGCAGATGGCATGGGAGCTTTAGTCCATCAGTCCACAAGCATGAGAAAGATGTCTGACAACTCACCCAGCCCCCACCCTCATCACCACCTCCATTTATTGGGATATCATAAGGCACACCACCCGTCTCCATATTCAAACCCTCGATCACTTTAACAGTGTGCTGCAAGCTGTGGCTTTCTTCAATCAGCCTGTTACGTAATCACACATTTTGGTCAAACACAGGGATTCTTCCCCCAGAGTCAGCACTCAGCACGTTTCAGCATTAGCGTGAAGCTACACTCTCAGAAATACCACTCATGCAGATTACCGCCTCTGCTCTCCAAGCTTAGTGTTTACTCAAGGCCTGGGCCAATTTTTCTCACCAAATAAAAGTTTGTCCACATTTGCAATGCAGAGGGCATGCAAAATTAAAAAAAAAAAATTTAAATTGTCTTGTTTTGCATACAAACAGCAGTTTTAAATCACCACAGCAAAACTACTGTCCACTTTCATTTTTACGCTTTGAATTCCCAAACAGTTTAATTTATTAGCAGTTTTAAATCACCAAAGGGACAATAGAGCCCACTTTCATTTTCTAGGCTTTGGATTCACAAGTCACTTCATTTCTTAGTAGGGTTTTGTTGACTCAATCTACATTGGCTGTTATTGGCCAAACCTGAAAGAATGCCAATCACTCACTGGTCCCTGCAGAATGCTAATGCATTTATTGGCTCTTCTACTGCATCCTCAGCCCTTGTAGAGTTTTAGTGAGATTACAATAATTTGGAAAGAGCCATCTGGAGAAATAGTGGGCATAACAGAGGTTACGAACTGCATGTTGGAGAACCCACCACTCCAGATTTTCTGTCTGTCAGACTCATGCACCCAAGAACATTGGCTAATTAGTCACCAATACATAAGAGTTAAGAAAGATATCAGACTTAGATATCAGTCAGAAGAGCCTTTCGAGCAGTGACTCCCAAACAAGAGTCTAAAGTACTTCAGTGAGGAAATTAAATTAAATTAACAATCACCACTTTAATTATCTATTTACTAAAGACACATATTAAAACCAGACCTTCAGAAACAAAGACTTAAGACAACAAAATAGTCAATGACTCACCTCAGCAAGGTGAGGCATGGGGTTAAATCCACAGAGATGACATACAACGCTTTTACATTCAGTGCAGGTGTTGTAATTAGGAGGGTCCTTCGAGCCCATGTTAAGATTCACTTTGCAGAGTGGGCAGGTGGATGGTTGAGGTGCACTTTCAGGATCTTTTACTAATTTATCCTGTCCAGTTTCAGGTTTATCCTTTTCTGAAGTAGGTATCCTTGATACTTTGGCCTCATTGTGCTGCTCTGGTTTCTTTTCAACAGGTGGTTTGTTCTCTTTTTCAGGAAGTACCTTCTTAGGTTCTGTTGCAACAGATCCTTTGCGAGATGTTGGCGGTGTAGCCTTGGCAGAGGCCACTGAGCCTTTGCGAGAAGCTGGTGCTGTGGTAGATTTACCAGACTCAGAAGAAACTGTGGAGCCTTTTCGTGAAGTTGGAGGTGTTGTGGATGGCTCATCTTGAACAGCTGAGGAGATCAGATTAGACGCCGAGCTAAATAATGAGGATCCAAATCCCAGAACTTTCCCGGAGACAGCAGAAACTGACTGTGGTGAGGGTGACCGAGATCTAGTCGTTTCTGTCAGTCCAACAAATCCACCAAAGAACTTTCCTGTGGTTGACTCAGATGGTTTAGAAGAAGTAGGCTGTGCTTTAGGACCACCTAATCCAAAACCAAAGAAATTTGATTCCTGTTTTGGGGGTCCAACCTCGGCAGGTGGAGCAGATTTTACGGGAGTGGCTGTATCTTTGGGTGGCTGTTGTGTTTTCGCAGGATCTTGTTGAGTATCATTTTGCTTAGGAGGCTCTCTTCTTGGGGTGATTGTATCAGTTGCCTTAGAATCAGTACCTGCCTTTTGTTGCGGGCTTGGAACTGAGATCTCTTTCTTTATTTCTTGAGCAGGGGCAGCTTTCTTTTCAGCTGCAGCAGGCTTCTCATCAGGTTTAGACTCAACTGGAGCTGTAGATATCTTGTCAACTTTGGATGGAGTTTGGTCGTCTTTCACTAAGGGAACTGGCTGAGGTTTCACTGTGGGACTTTCAGATGTTTTAATCCCTGCCTGTGCCCGTTGTACCTGGCAATTCAGGCAGAGCCATTCCTCAACCTGCAATAATTATAAGACAATTACTGGCAATAATATATTTCATACTCTACTGTAATGTCTTGCAGTAGGTTTATATGTAGAAAACCTAATAACTACAAAAAACTGCTGCTTCAACATACATTAATATAACAAATTAAAATAAATTAACACTTATTCACATCATTAACATTGGCTCTGTGACAAAATTTTTTATCCTTACTTTACATATCTGTAAGTGAAATGCATAAAAAAGCCGGTGAGGGTCAAAGTTGAACTGTTGTTGAACTTATTTTTATACTACTTAATTACACAAAATAACTGCCTCAAGTAACACTTCTACCGAATATGTCTTGGGAATTTCAATGGCTCGCCACACTGACATCATGACTACAATAGGGCTGTCAAATTTTTCTTTTCGAATTTCGAATATTCGTAGAATTAAAAAAAAAAATCCACATTTGAATGCAAAAATGTTGCATTTGAATTAAAGGTCTGCGTCAGCCGTCAGGCAGCCTTATCAGTGATAACGAGATGCGATGACGATGCATGTGTCATTGATTGCATTTGAATGCTTTTGTTAGCCTATCCAGTTGAACCCACTAGATGCGGCGCTGCTACGTTGTTCATTCATTTATTGCGGAAAACGATAGCATCAGTCTGGAGAAGATGTTATGTCAAAACTGAAACCAAGCCATTCACACAGAATGCATATTTATCACATTTTCTAGAGGGACATCTATCAGCGTTGCACTCACGTCTCGCAGAGAGCGGCATGTTTAGAAAGCCATGTAAAATTAGTTACTTTATTACTTTATTAAAAATTAGTTGCACAGATTGTGCAAGTTCAACTTTTAAAAAACATGTCTAAAGACGTTATGGCGTTTTTCCCCCATCCCACTCATCTCATGTTTTTAAATGAAGAAAGTAGCCTACTCTTTGTGATTGGTTTTCGGTCCTTTGTATTAAACTATACATACATGCATGGTGCTGTTTTTTTCCTAATTGTTTAAGCAAACTTTATTAATTATATATGGTTTATAAACATTATTTTAAACTTTATGCACTTTTTTCAAAGATAGTTGTGTTATTTTATTACGCTTTGAAGAAACGTGCATAATATTTTGCTCGATGCGCCCTCTTGTGGCCTCAGGAGAGAAGCCAAAAGCTTTTTGCCCCCTAACTGAAATTATGCCTTTTAAATTCGAATATAATTCGAATTTTGATAATATTTAAGTAGAAAATTCGAATTTAGTTTTTCAGTCATTTTGACAGCCCTAGACTACAAATGGCCCCTCTTAAATATTGATTTTAAAAACAAAATAAAGCAAATAGGCAATTAGCGGACAAAAAGTCAAAGATATACTGTACTTAGCAGCATTCAAAGTAAACATAGATATAACACTATAAGTGAAATTAGAGCTTAATGATAGAAGACTAAAAATGCATGTTGAAATGTGAAACTGTATTTGAATGTAACTTTTTTTGGAATGTCTAAAAAAAATAATAATAATAAAAAAGTTACATTTAAAAAAAATTTTTTTCCAGAATGCCAGTCACATTGTTATGTTCTGTAATATGATGAAAATGCTATTTATACTGGCGTACTGTATGTAAATACTGTATATAGAGTATAATGGAATAAAAGACAACAAGAATGGTACATGGGTCTTAAAAGTGTTAAAAGTAAAGGTTAAATGTCTTACCTCTGTTTGACGAGGTATTGGATTAAATCCACATTGGTTGCACACTGTTGTCTTGCATTCTGTGCATGTGTTAAAATTCTTGGCATCCTTGGAACCAATATTGAGTTCCACTTTGCATAATGGACAATTGGTCTTGCCTTCTTTAGGAGCAGGTTTCTGAGGTGGTTTGGGTGCTGTGACTTGCTTGATTTCTGCTTTTTTCTCCGCTGGTTTATCTGCATCTTGCCCTGCATGTGATTTGGTGTCTCCTATCTTACTAGAGGCGTGTGCCACTGCAGATCCTTTGCGAGATGTGGGAGGAGTAGTCTTAGCAGAGGTCTGGGAAACTGTGGATGCCTTTCGAGAAGTTGGTGGTGTTGTGGAAGGTTCAGCCTGTGCAGCTGAGCTGATTAAATTAGATGCTGAGCTAAATATAGAGGATCCAAAGCCCAGAACTTTTCCAGACACAGCAGAAACGGACTGTGGTGATGGTGATCGAGATCTAGCTGTTTCTGTCAAGCCACCAAAGCCAAAGAGTTTCCCTGTGGTTGACTCAGATGGCTTAGAGGAAGCAGGTTGTACCTTAGGACCACTAAATCCAAAACCAAAGAACCTGGATTCCTGTTTTGGTGGCTCTGCCTGTGGAGGTGGAGCAGATTTTTCTGGGGACTTGTCAGACTCCTTTAAGAGTTTGTCAGTTTCTTTGTCTCTCTTTGAATCTGATGTTTCTTTCTTCCTAGATGATGCAGGTTGTACCTTTATGTTTGTCTCTAGTGGTTGTGGTGAAGCTGAGACTGATTCTTTCTTTTGGACATCCACTGAAACAGGATTCTTAGTTTTATCAAGGATGGCTGCAGCTTGAATCTCTTTCTTCTGGGTTTCAGCAACATTAGGAACCACGGTTGACACTAATGATGGTGCCCCTGGTGTTATACTTTCTGTTCTTGGATGCGGTGCTGAGGTGCAGACATTTTCAGCTTGTTCATGGGTCTTCATTTTTGGAGGTCCTTGTGGTTCCATTCCATGTAATGCTCGCTTTGTTTGGCAGTTCAAACAAAGCCATTCATTGACCTGTAAGGAGAGATTAAAAAGGAATTCTTGACTTCCTTCTTCCATGATATTGATGGAAAATTAATATGAGATTGATTTTTCATGGAGACCACTAAACAAAATACACTGGAGCTGGAGCGACCAAGCATTTTAGATAAGTGTAAATTAATCTGCTCTGTTAAAAGAGTGTTAGCAACAGAACAGTAGCATTCTCTTACCTCTGTTTGATGGGGTGTTGGTTTGAATCCACAGAGGTTACAAACAGTGTTCTTGCACTCAGTGCAGGTCCTGTAGTTAGGGATGTCCTTTGAACCCACATTAAGATCCACTTTGCAAATAGGACATGCTCTGGTTTCTGCTTTAGGAGCTGCCACTGCTACTACTGAAGCTTCAGGTACTGCTGAAGCCTGTTGCACCTGCTTCTCATCTGTTTTGTCCTCCTTTGGCTTGTCTGTTATAGGTGCATTTGTGTCACCAGTAGGTGGAACTTGTTGAGAAGTAACAGATCCTATCCGAGAAGCGGGTAGTGTTGGTGTAGTCTTAACTGAAGTTTGGGAAACCACAGATGCCTTGCGAGATGTTGGTGGTGTTGTAGTCTTTGCAGATGTTTCAGAAGCTGTGGAAGTCTTACGAGAAGTTGGTGGCAGTGTGGAGGACTCATCTTGAACAGCTGAGGAGATTAGATTAGATGCAGAGTTCAAAAAGGAGGATCCAAATCCCAGAAACTTCCCTGAGACAGCAGTCACTGAAGGCTGAGGGGATCCAGATCGAGCACCACCAAAACCAAAGCTAAAGAAACCTGATTCCTCTTTAGAAGGTTCTGGTATCTGTTGTACAATCGATTTTGCAGGAGAAGGATCATGTTTTGGCATTTCAGTTGGTTGTGTTGAAGCTCGTGTAGGTTTGTTCTCTTGATTCTCTTTAGCAACTGATGTGCTTATCTTCCCAATAACATCTGGCTTATTTTTTGGAGACACTGGAACTGGAGTATGTATGAGAGCCTCCTTGTTTTCTGGCATTGTTGTTGGAGATGCTTTGCTAACCTGTGGCTGTGGTTGGGCAGAGGGAGACACTTGAGCTTTCTTCACCTGGCAGTTCAAACACAGCCATTTCTTAACCTGTAGGATAATAATCAGAATTAGAATTAAAATAATAAAAGATGTTCTTGAAATTACACTGAATTGACACAGAATTAATTGAATTAATGCAATAACTGATGCATGTGCAACTCACAGAGATACAAATGAAGTGCTCTTACCTCAGTTTGATGTGGCATGGGATTAAATCCACAAAGATCGCACACCGTGTCCTTGCATTCAGTGCAAGTGTTGTAATTTGGTGGATCCCTCTTTATGTCCACTTTACAGAGTGGACAGGCTTTTGGAAGCTCTGGAACTGGTCTGTTAATTTTCACATCAGCGATTGTTTCTTTGGTCATCTCATCATGTGGTTTAATTCCCTCTTTTTTCTTTTCATCCTGTTTCTGTGCAGTAATAAGTTTGGCTTCTTCTGCTAGTTTAATTTTTTGTGTGGCTTGTGAAGCTTCTGAACCTTTTCGAGAGGTAGGTGGTGTTGGAGTTGTCTTAACAGAACTTTGGGACACAGTGGATCCCTTACGAGAACTTGGTGGAGTTTTGGTGGATGACTCATCCTGAACGGCTGAGGATATCAGATTAGATGCTGAACTAAGGAAGGACGACCCAAAACCCATAACTTTCTCAGAGACAGCAGATTGAGGGGAAGGTGACCGGGATCGAGCACCTCCAAAACCAAAGCCAAAGAAACTAGACTCTTCCTTAGTCTGTTCGACTTTAGATGATGGAGCAGGTTTGGAAGGAGAAGCTACACCTTTAGACTTTTGATCATTTGGAGTTAGACTAATTGTAGGTTTTTTAGTCTCTGCTGGAGGTTTATTGTCCTGCTCAGCAGGGACACTCTGCTTCTTTTCTGGGGAAGTTGGAATTTGAGCCACTTTATTTTCTGGAGATGCTGGTGGTACTTTGTTAGATTGTGGTTGTGGCTGAGCAGGGGGAGGTCCTGAGGTTCTCTGTGCCTGGCAGGTCAAGCATAGCCATTCCTTCACCTGTTGATTATTTAAAAAAAAAAAGTTTATGAAACCATTAAACATACTTTCTTTTAAAAGTCAAAATCTACACAAAATAATTCCTTTTTTACATTTTCAATAGAGCCTTTACATATATATAAATGTTAAAGACATTGACATATGGTACCTCAGTTTGATGGGGATTGGGATTGAATCCACAGAGATTACAAACAATTTTCTGGCAAGAACTACAAGAGCTGTAGTTCTGTGGGTCCTTCTTCAGAGTTTCTTTGCAAAGTGGACAGGTTTTTGGAAGCTCCTCTGGAGCATGTGGAGGTTTGGCCGAATTAGGATCTGGGGTTTTCTGCACTGGCTTTGGTTCTAGTATTGTTGTAACAACTGGCTTTGATTCCCCTTCAGGTGTTTTTTGTTTAGCATCCTGAGGAGCAACTGATCCTTTTCGAGAAGTAGGTGGTGTTGGTGTGGTCTTATTTAAAGTCTGGGAAACTGTAGATCCCTTGCGAGATGTTGGTGGAGTTTTGGTGGAGGATTCATCCTGAACAGCCGAAGAGATCAGGTTAGATGCTGAGCTGAGGATGGAGGATCCAAAACCAAAAACCTTATCAGAGACAGCAGTCTGAGGAGAGGGGGATCGAGATCGAGCACCACCGAAACCAAAGCCAAAGAAACTTGACTCTTCTTTAATCTGTTCACCTTTAGGTAGTGGAGCAGACTTGGAAGGAGAAGCATCACGTTTAGATATTTGAGTATTTGGTGTTGTTGGTGTTTTGGTCTCTATAGGAGGTTTATTTTCCTGCTCAGCTGTAACACTTGGCTTCTTCTCTGGAGTCTTTTCCTTTTGTGGAGATGCTGTTGTAAGTACTTTGTTAGACTGTGGCTGAGCTAGGGGAGGACCTGAAGTTCTCTGCATTTGGCAGGTCAAACACAGCCACTCCATCACCTTTAGATAATAAGAAAGATTGCCATCTATGACCATACAAACGTATTTACCCATAATTTTAACCTTATCTCTATTATTTAAATTACAAAATCTGCACAGAATCATTTCTGGTAGCAAAACGAGAGTCTTTATTATGAGATATAATAAGTGTAAAACAGACTTACTTCAGTTTGATGTGGATTGGGATTGAATCCACAGAGATTGCAAACAATGCTTTTGCAAGAAGTGCAAGAGCTATAGTTTTGTGGGTCCTTCTTAAGGGTCTCTTTACAGAGTGGGCAAGTTTTTGGATGCTCCTCTTTCACTTGAGCTTGTAGAGGTTTGGATGATTGAGCATCTGGTGGCTTTTTCTGTTCTTGGGTTGGTGAAAGGGTTGGATTTGATTTTGCTGCAGTAAGATTTAGTTTAGTGTCTTGTGGAGCTACTGATTCTTTTCGAGAAGTGGGAGGTGTTGGTGTTGTCTTATTCGAAGTCTGGGAAACTGTAGACCCTTTGCGAGAAGTTGGTGGAGTTTTAGAAGGTTCATCCTGGACAGCCGAGGAGATCAGATTGGATGCTGAGCTAAGGAAGGAGGAACCGAAGCCTAGAACCTTCCCAGAGACAGCAGACACAGTGGGCTGAGGAGATGGTGACCTTGAACTAGAACCACCAAAACCAAAGCTGAAAAAATCTGAATCCTGTTTAGAAGATTCAGATTTAGGTGGTTGATCAGATTTGGCAGGTAAGAAATTTTTCTGGATTTGGGCCTCTGATGTAGTTTGTTTGGAATCTGCCAGATTTGGTTTGCCTTCTTGTTTCGCAGAAGCATTATCCTCTGCTACAACACCCCCAGTGTCTTGTTTTTTTGGTGATGCAGGTGGTGGTAATTTAGTAGTTCCTGGTTTCACAACTGTAGGTTCGGGAGCTCTCTGCATCTGGCAGTTCAAACACAGCCATTCCTTCACCTGTAGGATGATGAAAATGGTAACCATATAATTATGAGAAATAAAGACCACTATTGTTTAATTTTGATATATTATAGACTGTTCATTCATAATAAATAAATTACCTTGCTTAAATGTATTTTCAATAATTGTGACTGAGAAAAAAAATCTGTATATATATATATATAACTATTTTCTCACCTCAGTTTGATGTGGCATTGGGTTGAATCCACAGAGATTACACACAGTGCGCTTGCAAGTAGTACAGGTGCTATCATTTGGTGGATTCCTCATTATTTCTGCCTTACAAAGTGGGCAAGTTTTTGGAGGCTCTGACGTGTGGTCACCCTCTTTTACAGCTTTTCCCTGAACTTCTGTCATTTTCTCTTCAGGTTTCTTGTCTTTCTGCTGATTTTCAACAGATTTAGCTCTCTGTTTTGGTGACACATCTGCTGATCCCTTCTGAGAAGTAGCTGGTGTTAATGTAGTCGTCACAGGAGTATGTGAAGCTGATGAAACCTGTTGCTGAGTTGCAAGGAGTGTGGCGGTGGATTCATCTTGTACAGCCGTGGAGATAAGATTAGAAGCCGAACTCAACAGGGAAGAACCAAATCCAAAGACCTTCCCAGAAACACTGGAAGCAGCAGGTTGGGGAGAAGGTGATCTAGAGCGTCCAAAACCAATCAAGCCACTCTCTTCTTTTGTGAATGCAGCCTTTGGTGAGGCAGTAGATTTTGTGGATACAGTATCATCCTTCTGTGTTGGCTGTACTGGATTTTTGATGTCTTGCTGCTGGGGTGGATTCTGTGTTGGTGGAACTGCACTAGCCTTCCTAGACCCTGGTGTTGCACCTTCAGATAGTGAAGTATCTTCTTTTTCAGTAGCATCTGTGGAATCAAGTGGCTTCTTCTGGGGAGGAACAGGAGTTGGTGTTGCTTTCTTTAGTGGTGATACTGGTGGAGGTACTTTGTCAGTCTCAGCTTGAGCTCTTTGCATCTGGCAGTTCAGACATAGCCACTCCTTTTTCTGAAACAGCATTCCAATAATCAGTATAAAATTGATCACACAGAGTACTACAAGAAACATATTTGAAATATTAAATAATTTTTTAATATAATTTTAATGCATTTTTTTCATGCTTAAAAAGTCTAAAATCATAAATGTTGGTGCCCATAATGTCATATACCCAGATACTACTACAATACTAATTAAATAATAATTATAATAATGAGTATAAGGTGTTTTATGTTCAAGGTAAAACGGCTGATTACCTCTTTCTCATGGGGCATGGGGTTAAAGCCACATAGATTACACACTGTGTTTTTGCAGTCGGTACAGGTATTGTAATTGGGAGGCTCCTTCTGCAAATCGACTTCACAGAGAGGGCAGGCTTTGGGAAATGATTTAGTGGGCTCTGTCCTTGTTGTTTCTGGTAGATCTCTATCTTTTGTAACTGATACCATTGTTGGCTGTGCCTGACTGACCATGGATTTCTTATCATCTTTTTTTATCTGTTCTTGTATATTTTCAGGATGTACTTTTTTGTCATCTGAAGGAAGAATTTTAGGAGAGACATCAGATCCTTTTGAGGAAGCAGGAGGTGTGCCAGTCTGAGAAACTCCAGAACCCTTTCGTGAGGAAGGTGGAGTGGTAATCTTATCTGAAGTCTGGGAAACTGATGAGCCTTTACGAGATGAGGGTGGGGTTGTAGTCTTAGCAGATAGTTGGGAAGATGTGGATCCTTTGCGAGAAGTGGGTGGTGTTGTAGAAGGCTCATCTAGAGCTGATGAGATCAGATTACTTGCTGAGCTAAAGAGGGAGGAACCAAATCCCAAAACCTTCCCAGAGACAGCAGATGCTGCAGGTGGAAGTAAAGGAGTCTGAGATCTACCTCTAGACTCTTCAGGGATTTCAGAGGAGACAGGAACATGTCCATCTTGGGACTTTCCTTGTCTTTGCTGCTGTGGGGTAGCTCCTTTAGTGGTTTCTTCTCCTTTTTTTGCAACTTTAGTTTTTGCCCCATCTGTATTTTCAATGCTTTTAGAGTTTACTGCAGCTTCAGACTCCTTCTGTGAGGTTGCAGGAGTTGTTTTAACAGACATCTGTGAAACTGTAGAACCCTTACGAGAGGAAGGTGGAGTGGTATTAACTTCACTGGAGATTTGTGAAACTGCGGAACCTTTGCGAGAGATTGGTGGTGTCTTATCAGACATTTGAGAAGCTGTTGAAGCCTTGCGAGAACTAGACGGTGTTATAGAGGACTCATCTTGAACAGCTGTTGAGATTAGATTAGATGCTGAGCTTAAGAATGAAGAACCAAACCCTAGAACCTTCTCTGAGACAGCAGGCTGAGGAGAAGGTGATCGAGATCTAGCTCCTCCAAAACCGAACCCAAAGAATCCAGGTTTATCTGGTTGCGGATCAGTTTTTTGAGATTCTGACTTTGGAACTTCTGCAATATGATGTTGTTTCGTTTCTCTTTGGATGGGTTGTTCAGTTTCTGCTAATGTTTGCTTATTGTCTTGTTTCTCTTCCACTTCTGGTTTCTTATCCTTTTGAACGGCATCTGCTGGAAGATGTTGCTTTTTCTGTGAAGCATCTGGATTGGGAGTATCCATTTTAAGTGGTGCAGCTTCCTTAGCGTGTGACTGAAGCTGTGCAGGATGAGGTTGTGGTGCTTTCTTCATCTGACATGCCAAACAAAGCCACTTCATCTGTAGTTTTGTAAAGTATATTGAATTAATCATTTTGTAACTCAAACTTACATTATACAGCATCCCAGACTTAAGTGGATTAACCACACTGCTTATTAACTTGGCTCAAATAAATTAGATTAAAGAGGTGAGCATTGTTAGCTCTCCTGTCAACATAAAACTGTTGGTTCTCAAATTGCATCATGATAGTTTTCCATTAAAGTCAGCATTTAAGTCAGCATGAGCTCAAAATTGACACTATTTATTCTCTTAATGCAACTCACTGGTCTTATTGTAAACAGTTCATTCAGGCATTTTTTTTCTTTGAATGTGCAATCTTTAAATCAGGCTGTCTTAATTTGTTGTTCTTGTGATATGCTCTCTTCTCTGTGCAGGCATATGTAAGACCACACAGCATTTAAGATTTGCATTCATTCTGGTATGCAATGCTTACTTTTCACAATCCAATCAACAACCGATGGTGTCCCTCCTTGTTTGTTTTTTCTTGTTTGATAGAAGTTTTCCTCAGAAATGTCACAATTTGTTGATCTGCGTAACTCTTTATTTTGATAGTCCACTTTAGACATTCTACTAACTATAAGTAACATTGCAACTACATGTCGACTACCAGTTATTAGAGTATTAGTAGACTTTCTGCTGTATCTGCTAACACTGTATTTTGATGATCACCGAACACCCAACAGACACAAGTACACATCAGCTCGTTGTGACCTAACCCTAACCTAACAGTCTACTGATACTCTAATGAGTTAGTTGACATGTAGTTGCAAATTAATGAGAGTTAGTTGACATGTAGTTGGAAAGTTACTTACAGTTAAAGGGGTCATATGATGCGATTTAAAATTTTCCTTTCTCTTTGAAGTGTTACAAGCTCTTGGTGCATAAAGAAGTTGCAAAGACTAAAGTCTCAAATCCAAAGAGATATTCTTTATAAAAGTTAAGAGTCAACCAAGTCTACCTAAAACAGCTTGTTCTAACACGCCCCCACATGTCTACGTCACGATGTGGGAAGATTTGCATAATGCCGCCCAAATGTTCACGCAAAGAAAGAAGGCGTAACTTTTATTCTCGCTGTAATATTGTTGCTGCTGCCATGTCGTGAAGACGCTGTGTGTTTCGTTGTGAAAGCGAAACTACTTTGTTTGGCCTTTCAAAAGAGGACGATATCTGCTTCGTCATGCCTAGAGCTGATCCGTGCTGGTCGCTGAGGAAATACATCAACTTCACGCTGTGGATCTCCGGATCGGCTTTCACCGTGGACGAAGCGGAGTGCAGCCCGGGGTCGTCACATGTGGTTGCCACAAGCCCGTTCTCAAGCCCGCCGGCCGTTCCTCACTCTAGCCCACTGGCCGCCGCTCACTCTAGCCCACCATGTGTGATGCTGTGTGTTTCGTTGTGAAAGTGAAACTAC